AGTTTACATTCTTAATGGCTGTTCCCGTGCGACTTAATCTGCATGAAATTATGAAAATTTTATTTTATTGTTTGCATTTGTCAAATTATCAATTACAAATGTCAAAATGACATGACATGATGACAACTTTGCTTCCTTGATGTTGGCAGCAACATATGGTCTTCTTCCCACATTAGGGTTTTTATCCAAAATATTTATCCCCTAAGTTTAATGGCGTTAAAATATATAGCCTAAAGCATGACGCTAGTGTAGGGCTTTTTATATAAAAAAATAATTCTTCAAAAATATGCTGTAATTGCTGATATCTTAGGCAACAAAGAAGTATATGTTTCCGCTTTATTATAATAGTACAGAAGTATAGATATAGATTAAGGTAACATATCATTTGAAACACAATGTAATTAGGTTGAAAAGTCAACGTAATAGCATCCACGAGTATTAACTAGCTCTTTGTTGTAGTACAAATGCATATTAGATTACTTTTTATTATTCCGTAGTACGCGCAACTCACTGCTATCATTTTGCGTATTTGTAAAAGGCTGATTCATTCCAAGAAACAAGAGAATTATCCTGTTAGTGGAATATCACCGTTATTCCGTTTTCCACAACTGTACATGTCGAATCATGATCTTTCAATCGCCAGATTTATATCTAACATTTATATAAATGTTCGAAATTAACAGATTTTTTAACAGTTCTACTTTGAAAAATCATGTTCATGTTCTCTACTAAAGTTAAGATAGCATATCATAGTTTCTTGACATGTTAAATGTATGGGGCAGATAAAGAAAATAGAGGCAAAATAATTTTATATGCAATGTGATCGTGCTAATTCTTAATCTGAGTACCGTGGGATTTATCACAATCTCAGCACCTTGCGTCCTATCTATCGATAATGTCAAATTTATGCGACTATTTCACAAAATAATGTAGTTGTCTCGACACAGTGATCAAGATAAAACCCGTCCAATCACAACTTGATGTCTCCAAGGCTGCATTTATCAGATAGTGTAAAAAATGTATGTCAACTGCATAATACAACAAAACAAAGTATGATTTTATAGTAGGGCACATAAATGATATGATTATGAGGTCATTCGAAGATAACTGACCATTCATTTCTGCAAATAAAAACTTATTGTAGTTACGAATTTTGTTTCGTAGTTCCAAAAGTGTTTTTTTAATATTAAGTTATTTGGATAAATGTTAATACGAAAGGTTTAATATAAAACAAAAAAATGATTGTTTAAAATATTTAATATAAAATATAGTAAAGATAATATAATTGACAATATTTATAATATAATAACGCTACGTAAATAATCTTATATTTTGACGCAAAAGCATCATACGATATTGCCAAAGTGTAAAAATATTTTTTTTTTCAGACAAAATCGCCGGATACGATTATTTACGTGGAAGTCATAAATTTTATTAAAATGCAGTATTTATATAACTCTTTAGTATCATACAATAATATCATATGTTTATAATATCACAATCAAAAGTATTTTCGTGATCAAAATTCAACTTATGCCGACTTAATAAATCTTAATTATTATTTATCTATACTTAACAACTTATCACTTATTGAGTATGAGACTGCTGTTGATAAAAATAGAGATAAGTTACCATGCTTGAGATTAAATTAATTTTTGTTACAATTATCTACACGTATCCAATACTGTCATGTTCCTGTGCTGTAGTTCTCTTTCTCATTATTTTTTCTATCAAGTTCAACAGCCTCAGGCGACGTATCCCTATCCCTATGTTCTTTACTTCTATATGCTTCCGGACCAACTAATGACAATATTACAGGCAAAAACACTAACCCATGGAACAAACCAAATAGAATCACAAGAAGGAAAATCTTAAAAAATGACTGGAAAGTATATGCTTTTGATGCTCCTAATAGTGACAGAGAGAGTAACGTGGATCCACCACCTAACAAGACAGCAGTACCTATAGATGTAACTGTCGCAAACGCCCGTTCATTGCGTGATCCGTTCGTCATCGTTAAGAAAGTATGACCAACATGAGCAGCGTAATCCACACATAATCCTATTGCTAATTCCAACCCTATACAACAAACAATATCTACAGTCATACCCCACCTTTGCATCCAACCCAAAACATTAATTATAGTTATTAACACACAAATAAATATCCACAAACACATCTGAAGATTAGTTATGAGTACAATAGTACAAGCCATGACACAGAGTAAAGCTAGCTCAATATTTCTCTCCATTTCAAGACCTATAATCTCATCTGTTACCCAGTTGGCAAATACTTTGGCCCAAACACTTCTATAACCATCACCAGTGGTTATGTTTGCAGATTTAACAACACTCTTTACATAATTCATTGCTGGTATATATTCCTCAGGACCTTGGAAGTTTTTAAGTTTAAATGACATAATTGACCCCTGTATTTCACTAGCAGGATGACCACAAACTAATGGTTCTGTCAATTTTAAACTAGCCCGAAACTTACCTCCAACAGGACTGAATAAAAATCTAGACAAATATTTATTAAATTCAGCATCAGTGATACTGTTATTTCGTAGATCATGTGCATAGTTTATTAACACATATCTATAAAATCCATCTATCCAAGGATCAACATCCATGACATAGGAACTGTTACCTAAATCTTCCATAACATTCAAAATATTTGAAAATTCGTATTTGTAATTGATTTTGCCTAAGAACACCATAGCATCTTGGCCCTCCTCAGGGTAATAATGTTCATAAGCTGATATAAATTCCCTATAATAAGAGTTTTCAGGTATAAACCATTTAGGATCAAACCTTTGTTCCAATTTTAATGTTGATTGTATACTGAAACATGTCATAATTAAAGTAAATAATATAACAATTGTTTTACCAGCTTTGGTAAGAACAATATATTTGTAGAATCCAGAGAACAGTTCGTGACATTTAGTTTTATTTTCTGCTAAAGCAATTGGTTTCGTATGCGTGTAACAAAATAGAAAACCATTACGATTCTGTTCAATTCTTTTTAAATCTAACGTAAAAGCTGCTACATAAAATGTCACAGAGTAACAGAAGACAAAAAATACACCTACAGCACCGTAAATACAAAATGATTTTAAAGACGGTAATATAGTAATAGCTCCTATAAGTAAAGCAACAATATCAGTGACTGATGTTATTACGATCGACACACCAGCATGTTTTAACATTAGGCCTACTTTAGTGGGCACACTTTTAGAAGACTTTGAACTTGTAACCATTTTCCAACAAGCGTTCATAACAAACATATCATCTATACCTAAACCCATTAGAAGAAATGGTAATGAAGAGTGCACTGGACCGAATGGTATACCAATAATAGAACACCAACTGACTGCAGAAACATAAGCCATTCCAACACACAGCAGCCCCACACTGCCTAACGTTAATCTTACTTCAAGCCAATTACATCTTGATAAAGCTGTTACCGCATAAATAAACATTAAGAATATACCAATAAACAATTTATCCATATCATGAAACATTGTTTCTCCGCTAACATCAGCAAAACTTCGTCCAGCTTCATAATATAATTCTAGACCTTTCACATTGGATGATAAGTTTGCCATTTTTAATAAAAACTGTTTTTCCCACATACTTAATTGTATAGACTGCCACTCCTCAGTGCCAACCAAGTTGCCAGCTTCATTCATATCTTCATCGGACATATTGACATGTGTATACCAGGTGAACAGCACTGATTCTGCAGAAATTATATGACCAGTTTTATTATACTTAATTCCACCAAGTAACTTGGAATAGTCCGTTGCATGACCTGATATAGGATTCACTTTAACTTGGTTAACTAATCTGATTATTTCTTCTTTTGTGACATTTTTAATTGTTTCTGGACTATTACTCCATAAATCCAAAATGTTATATTGGAGGCATGTCATTGTAAATTTTTCCAAAACTCCACAGTAAAGTTCATCATCAAACCATAGTGTTGCGTCACTAAATTCACTATTACTTTTCTTCCTTTTGTACACTGACCGACTTGCATTTACACCCCCTTCAGATCTAAGATTTTCATTAGAGTTTAAAAAACTAACCACAGGTACTTCATAACAAAAATCCTTAATTGTATAGTTTCTTGCTTTGTATGTTATTGTCAGAGAATCTATTTCATTGGTAATATTATTCATTGTTTTAAATATTTCTGGATCCAAAACATTATCTGATTTTATAAGAATTTTTTGAAATCTGAAGGAGGTTCCAAATTTATCTATGAACCAGTTTGTGTCTATAAAGAAATCCGAGTCTGGTGGGACCCATAGCCTGAAAGGATTCTTTTCTATGTGAAACCTTAATAAACCGAAACAACTTAATATCACAAACATCCATATTATACATATCGTCCGCCATGGATGCCTTGCTATGTTAACACCGAGCACATAAAATATCCGTTCTGTAAAGTTAACAAATATCGATGATATGTCCTCCCATATTTGTTGAAGAGACCGACTACACTGCTGGTTAGGCATAGGTGTTTGAAAACAATAGCTTTATTAAATGTTTGAATCACAACACTTATAGTTCCACTTATTTTTTATTTAATCATTAGTCCGTAAATATACAATTATAATCCCGTTTCAAATTTAAAATAAATTGGTAGCACCCTTTTTGCATTTTCAAACATTTTTTAACTACTTTTTACGCGTTATCTCACGAGAACGTATTAAATTTGACTGATGAAAATTGAAAATTCACTGACATTATGCATTAAACGAAGATTCAAAGAGCATGTAAATAAAAGTCAAAATTGATGCTCCAACCTTGAAGAGTCAATTAATATTTCCACAATTATGAAAAAACAGAAAATATCTGCATATGCATTTATGAACCGAGACATTTAACACATTAGATATAATACGATAGAACATTCCATAGTAGTAGCACCATAAACATCACGGAACTATCTGATAAGCACACTCTTTGACATAAAGTCTGATATTGTCAATGTCAAATCAATCATTCTAAACGTGTCAAAACAAAATAAAACAGAGCTTTTTGCCGACAAAGTAGAATGATTAATTATTGGTAAACTTAAACTTATCAATAGTTTTCAAGGTGGTAAATCTACATTTTTAACATCATGATGTGGACAACTAAAACTTTTTTAACAAAGACAAAACGCGGTAACATTTTAAAAGTAAGGTTATATTAATTTTATTTATCCAAAACTATATTCCACTTTTATAAAAATGCAATTCTTTTTATTAAAATAAACAGATGTTTTTATGCAAAAACGAATACTCCTATATGTAGATACATTTGTCACACAATATAACTTTTATGAATTATGTTATAGATTGTTAGGGAGCACTATTTACGCGACGATTTATTATGTGGCTCATCTGCTTGCAACCATTGCCCACATAAAGAAAATGAATACGTGTTAGAAGCTAAGCCTCAGTCTATCTGCGCTCTCTTTGATTACGACCATTATCTTGTATTGGACACCAATGTGGTATTACATCAAATAGACATTCTCGAGGAGGAGGCTTTGAAGAATGTTATCATTTTGCAAACAGTACTGGAAGAAGTTAAGCATCAAAATACAGCTATATTTCAAAGATTATTAGAGATTATTGGTAACAAAAAGAGGAGATTTTATTCTTTTGTGAATGAACACCATAAGTATGTATAACTTTATTGAACCCTTTACCTATTACAGTAAAACCTTGATAAGTTAAAGTCCAAGGGAAACACAAAATGTTTTAAAGTTATAGAGGTTTTATTAACAAGGGTATGTTGTAGAGGTTTTGGGCTCTGATGGGTGGGGAACATATTAGTTTTTGAAGTTATTGAGGTTTTTAAGTTACTGAGGTTTGAGTTATCGAGGTTCTTCTGTATATACTTTGTTTCTCTAGTCTTCTATAACTCTCTGCATTTACTGTTCCATTCTTTATTTTCTTGTTAGCTATTAATTAACATTTATCTTATTTTTAATATTACAGAGATACTTATGTTGAAAGAAAACCCGGTGAGAAACAGAATGATAGAAATGACCGAGCTATACGTAAGGCAGCGTCTTGGTATGCATCTCATTTGAGTGTAAATAATTTGAAGGGACAGATTCCACAGATTGTGTTACTAACAGATGATGAGAATAATAGAAAGATTGCTCAAGATGAAGGCATTGTGTGTTGTTCAGGTATGTTTTAAATTAAAAGTTCACTGTTTGCTTTAAGATTGTACAAATACCTATCTATAATCTTAAATTTCAGTTAAAGATTACATAGAAAATGTTAATGGATTTGTGGGACTTATTGACAAATTATCGAAAAACGTTATGCCAGAAAGCTGTTCGAAAGATGCTTTGTATCCCGCACATTTGACTCCGAGTCAGGTTCATGCAGGCATTAGGAATGGAAAGTTGTATCAGGGAACTTTTTACGCCTCACGAGATAATTATTTAGAAGGTTCAGCTGTCATAAGTTGCTTTGAAAAGCCGGTAAATATTTAAGTTTATTTATATGTATTTTTATCTGACTGACCAGAAAGATGATGTTTGTTGCAGATATTTATATTTTTACGTATGCTTGTTACATATTCTAATATATTATGTGGCCTGTAGTTAAACCTTTTTTTTATAATATAAGGTGGCAAACGAGCAAGTGAATCCAGTGAAATGGAAAGCGACCGCTGCCCATAAACATCCGCAATTCCAGATGCGTTGCCTACCCTTCATTGACGGAGGAGGAGACGCTCATAAAGAGGATATTTCCCCTTCCTATGCATCTCCTCCACCGTCAAATCCACTTTTCCTTGCCATCCTAACGTCTAAAGAAAAGGGGGAAAGGGACTAAAATTAGGCCTCCGGCACCTAACTCATCAGACGAAAGGCAAAATTGATTCCACTTCACGCCTGTCTTCTGTGTGGTTGAGGTATTACCACAGGCGAGCCGGCCCATTCGTGCGAAAATGTTAAAGCGGGCTCTACCACTGTTAATATTTAAATGGGTGAGGTGTCATTTAATGTCTTGAGTGTGTCGAAATGTACAGTGAGGATTTTTTTTAATTTTAATCAGTTGATTTTTCAGTATTTCAGTCAAATGTTATATTTACAGATTCTTTTACAAGGTCATATTGGTATTAACCGAGCAGTTGACGGCGACATTGTTGCTATAGAAGTATTACCGAAGGAGGAATGGCGGAAGCCCAGCGATATAGTTTTAGAAGACAAAGCAGATGACCAAGGGGATCTTCTAGAGGAAGAGTCAGAATTACTGCCAACTGTGAAACCAAAGGATAAAAGTGATGAAGAAATAACACCAACAGGAAAAGTTGTAGGAATAATAAGAAGGAAATGGAGGCAATATTGCGGGATATTAAAACCTAGCAAATTTTCAGGTATGATTTTAGGTTTTTAAATACATTTTTAGGTTATGTGTGCAAGCTTTTATGTGAAACTTCATCAACAACAACTTTATTTAACTTAATTAACTTATTGCATGTAATTCTTTTATAATCTGTAAGAAGTAAGGTATTTATGTCAATTACTCCCACTTCACAAACCATAACTGTATACATTTCATTTTTATTATAATGATTATAATAAAATGAATTACTTACAGGAGCAACACGCCATTTATTTACTCCAGCTGAGAGGAAGATTCCTCATGTACGTATAGAGACACGTCAAAGTGACGTACTAGCCTCGCAAAGGATACTTGTAGCTCTCGACTCTTGGCCTAGAAACAGTCGATATCCTTTAGGACATTTTGTTCGCTCTTTAGGACCTATTGGTAAGTACGTTTTTGTCATTCAAGGGACGGGACGAAACAAGACGAGAGGAGACGGGACTAGATGAGACGAGACAGGATGGGAAGAGTCTTTAAAAGGGCATTCAATTTTTTATTAATGTTTTAGGTGACAAGAATGCAGAGAATGAGGTAATTTTACTGGAACATGACATACCTCATGCTCGGTTCAGTGAGTCAGTGCTGGCCTGTTTGCCACCTGAAGACTGGACCATACCGGAGGAAGTAAGTGGATTTTTATTCATTTTTTATCTGTGATTTTTAGGTTAACTATGTTTCAAAATAATTTTTTTACAAGTTTATTGGATTATAGCATTTTTAGGTGTTTTTAAATAAAATGATTGTACCTACATAATTTACGATAACACAAGTTCTTTCACAAATCATAGGGTTCTAATTAATTGATAAAAATGAAAAGTGTTTAATCATAAATAATAAACCATTTTACACCCATATACGGGCAACACTTCGACATAATTATATGCTAATATTATATCTTTACTCTCTTCTTAGAAAGATTTGTATTTTTGTATTTTTGTATGTATTGAAATAACTCAAAGACTGCTGGGCCGAATTCAAAAATTCTTACACCATTGAAAAGATATGTTATCAGTGAGTAACATAGGCTATATTTTTTATTATCACGCGGACGAAATCGCGAGCAACAGCTTGTAATTATATAAAATAAATCCTTACTTGTTGTAAATTAAAAGATAACATAAATTGAAATACAATGTTTTTTTATTTTATTTCTATGTCTGTACTCTTTTTTGCACAGTTAGTTGGTTTTTTTGGTGCGTTATCGTTTTTTTATGTTTATATAGATACATCTTTTATTTATTTTCTTTTTTTCTTTTTCCAGTATTTGTATAAATATATTTTTTGGATGTAATACTTTAAGTTATACTAAAAATATAATGATTTATACAACAGGAGATAAAGAAGCGCGTAGACCTGCGTTCAGTGTGCATATGCTCCGTGGACCCGCCCGGCTGCACGGACATCGACGACGCGCTGCACGCGCGCGCGCTGCCCGGCGCCGCAACCGTCTACGAGGTGGGCGTGCACATCGCTGACGTCACCTACTTCGTGCGCCCGCACACCGCGCTCGATACCGAAGCCGCTTCCAGATCCACTACTGTATATCTAGTGGATAAAAGAATCGATATGGTGCCTGGTATGTATTGTTAAGAATCGGTACTGCTGGTACAACACTAGATTATTGGCTTATTCGTCCCATTCCTATCTGACACCTGTCAATATCATTCAGTTAATTTAGTTTAGCACATCATTTTGGCGGGAGTTGATAGTCTAAGTTAAGAAACCGGATTGTAACACTAGATTATTGCCATATTTGTCCCGTATCTGACACTTGTCAATGTTACTCGGAAGTATCAGAACAGCGGAACACTGGCGGGAGTCGATACTAAGTTTAATTATGTTGTTAAAAGTATTTTAATTGCGTGAAACTATGAATATACTCTCCCCTACTTTATCCTACTCCCGTAAGCGCAACAGGTTTTTGTCTTCCAAATAACAGTCATCCCTCACTTCTTGATCATGATACCTTACGCAATCCGTCCATCTCTATGTCTACCTGTACCGGTATACCTCCACACTCATTACTAACTTTGTTTCTGGCGTGTATGGATAATTCGACAAAAATGGATACTTACACAGCTTAATTCAATTTGTACAGTTAAGGAATTTGACGGTGTCCAATTGGAAAGCTGTCTAAAGTTTTTTTTTCTTCTTCTTTTTATATTTAAGAGATGAATAGAATTTTTTTACCGCGTGTACAATTTAATGTTGATTTGTAATTCTCTATAGTTTGTTTTATATGTTAAAGACATCTTACTGTTGTATTTGACAGATCTTCTAAGTTCCAACCTGTGTTCTCTGCGCGGCGGCGAGGAGCGGCTGGCCTTCTCCTGCGTCTGGCACATCGATGAGAACGCCAACATTCTCTCAACTAAGTTCCACAAAAGTGTTATAAAGGTATCGTATTATTTTTGTGTTGTACTAACTGTTTCCATGCGACTTCATCCGCATAAATAATTTCATGCATGACTTTTTTTTTTTACAAATGATTTACCAACTAAATTAAATAGCGTGGAAATATATAGCCAATACCGTGCCGTAAGTATAGCGCTTTTTATTACATTTTTTTAAATTTTGCTGCATTTACTGTCATCCTACATAATGTTACAAAATTAGTACGGTGCTGTAGAATTGGTGCAACTCTAGATTATCGGCATCAATGTCACGTCCCTAGCTGACAGCTGACAGCTGTCAATGTCACTGGAAGGATGGATATTGGCGCGCATCCTGAGTCCTGACGAGAAGTGTTTCTCCGAGTTTAAAGCGACAGTATCAATTAAATAAGTTGTCTAAAAATAATAAGTGGTTCTATGCTTTATCATATCAATATAGATATACGAGTAGATAAAAATTGGTATAAAATATTAATTACGAAATATGTATTTTAGAGGAAGTTTGCGAGTAGCCCCAGTGGTAGAGAAGGTAAGGAGTAAAACGTCGGCATGGTATGGGCATGTTATGAGAGGGACGAATCAAAAATATGATTCTGAAACTAAAAAATCAATATAGAAGAACATGGCATTGTATGTTCTTCTAGTTGTGGTTTTTTTAGTCTGTGCAAATTAAAATGCTATGTAATTTGTGGTAAATAAAGACATAAATATTCTAGTGCACTCTGGCTAACGATGTTTTATTTTAATCCCAGTCTCGTGCAGCGATGACGTACGAGGAGGCGCAGCTGGTGATAGACGACGAGTCCCGCGAGGACGAGGTGGCCACCTCGCTGCGCACGCTCAACGCGCTCGCCAAGAGACTGAAGCAGAAGAGGCTGGACAACGGCGCCTTACTGCTCGCCTCGCCCGAGATACGCTTCCAGGTATCTCGATAATACCACCAATTCTATACTTAATATTATAAAGAGGACAGATTTTTATTTTGTTTGTATTGAAATAACTCAAAAACTAGTGGGTCGTTTAAAAAAAAAATTCACAATTAAAACACAGGCCACTGCCTGTCGCCAGAATGGCGCGCTCTAATACGTCTGAATGACATTGACAGCTGTCATAGGGACGGGATGTCTATGCCGATGTTCTGGTGTTGTCAGATTTTCTCAATAAATAGAAATCCATATTTGTATATAAAAATTTACTAATGCTGCATTGCTGAAGTTTTTATTTATTTTTTCAATATGTAGCGATTCATTAGTGTTAGGTTAAGTTAAATTTCAAAGGAGTTAAACTCAAGTTACGTAGTTCGGAAACCCATTTCAAGAATTTATCGAACTAAAAATACTAACGAATGGTTAACCTTGGCGTGCAGGGAATACTTGCATCGGGTGTTGTTTTAGTAAATCGGGGGGATATTTACCTGATATATCGCAGTTAATCGAAAATTACTATATTATTCACAACAAATGTTCTAAATACGTATTTTCACGTGACCCGAACGACAGACTGCAAATACATTATAAAAGCCCGCATACAAAGTGTTAAACGTATCTAGGAAACTGGCCATAAATAATGAATTTCATAGGTGGATTCGGAGACGCACGACCCCGTGGAGGTGCAGGCTAAGAAGATGCTGGAGACCAACTCTTTGGTGGAGGAGTTCATGTTGCTGGCCAACGTGAGCGTGGCGGAGCGCCTCGCGCGCGACTTCCCGCAGTGCGCGCTGCTGCGCCGCCACCCCGCGCCGCCGCCCGCGCACTTCCACACCTTTCTCAAGGCCGCCAAGCAACAGGTACGCCTTCCAAAGTGACAAACATGCCTCAAACGTAGCCATTTTGTATGTACAATCGGGGAAATTAACGGTGTTTTATATCCAAAGCTATAATCGTTTGTTTTGTATGTATTGACGCGGAATTATAGCCAATAAAATTCAACTTATTAAAAAATTATAAGTAGCTTAAATTTATTACAAAACATATAATTTTGACAACAGCCAAATCAGTTTATTGACGAAAACTGCATCTATAAATACATATATTTCCATAAACAACTTATTTTTACGAATACATCGTAATTTAATGTATGAAATGAACTGAATGACTCTTTCTAACTAATTTAAATACGCCTGTAAGAAAAAAGTCCATCAGTGGTAGACGAGAAATTGCTTTTTATATTTTCTATTGCTTATTCTCGTTTTTTTTATTCTTCTTCCTTAGCTCTACAGCCCTTTTTGAGCCTTGCGCTTGGTCAAGGAATTTTTTCCACTTCGGTCTATTAGTGGCTACCGATTTCCAGTTTATTATGCCAACATTTCATTTTTTTTATTCTCGATTTGCGTAACCTTATTGGTTGTTTGTGACAAGAAGCTGCGTTTGTATCATTGCAAGAAACAGGATAAAAAAAACTATCGAGAATGTTTATACGAATTACTATGCATTATGTTAAGTTGTCTGTATTTATAAATCAGCATAAACTAAACAAGTAATTAAATACATCACCAGTATTCATTCTACTCCCGTTTTGGGTTTCCGTTCTCCAAATAACTTTATAATCCGTCATCTTTATACCCAATATAATTAGAACAACGTTAATTACACATTTTTTGACATTTATTTTTTCAGGGCTTCGAAATAGATATATCAACGAACAAATCATTGTCAGCGTCCTTAGACCGCGCAGTGATACCGTCTCGTCCGTTCTTCAACACGCTGCTGCGTATAATGGCGACGCGCTGCATGCAGCAGGCCGTGTACTTCGCCAGCGGCGAGCGCTCGCACGACGACTTCTACCACTACGGCCTCGCCTGCCCCATATACACGCATTTTACATCTCCTATACGAAGGTGAGCTCGTGACGATTTATACCCATTACATCATCTTTCTTTCTCCTTATCCAACTCCCGTAGGGTCAGTGCTACAGGTTTTTGTCCTCCACATAACTCTATCATACGTCATCTCAGTCATCACTCCCAATTTGGTCATGTCACCTTTTATAAACATTATATAAAAAGATATTATAAATTGTTGTTTCGGATTTTTTTGTTAATATCAAAATTCATATGCTTTCATTTTAATCTAAAATTTTATTTTATTGTTTACATTTGTCAATTTATCAATAGCAAATGTAAAATGACATGACATTACAAACCTTGGCAATCTTGCTTCCTTGATGTTGGCAGCAACTTATGGTCTCTTCCCACATTAGGTTTTTTATCCAAAACATTTACCCCCTAAGTTTAATGGCGTGAAAATATATAGCCTAAAGTGTGATTAAATGTGTCATTAAAGAAGTAATTATTCAAAAATATGCTATAATTGCTCACATCTTAGGGAACAAAGACGTGTGTGTTTACGCTTTATTATAATAGTATAGATATATATGTGTGTGTGTTTGTGTGCAGATACGCGGACGTGATGGTGCACCGGCTGCTGGCGGCGAGCGCGGGCGCGGAGGCGACGCACGCGGCGCTGCTGGACGCGCGCGTGGCCGCCGCGCTCTGCCACAACCTCAACTACCGCCACCGCCAGGCGCAGCTCGCCGGCCGCGCCTCCGTCGCACTCAACACGCACGTCAGTACACACCTCACTCACAGATACACCTCTGCATACACTCCGTTCGACCTTCTCTACGCATTTATATATACGTCAATATACATATCAGTACTATCAGGGAAATTTCCAGTGTTACACTTTTATATACACTCGTTTCATCGTTTTATACACATTGAGATATATGTTATCATACATATCAGTACTATCAGGGAAATTTCCAGTGTTACACTTTTATATACACTCGTTTCATCGTTTTATACACATTGAGATATACGTCAACACACTTGTCAGTACTATCAGGCTAATTCTCAGTGATACACTTTTAGGTACACTCGTTTGAACTTTTTTTTATGCGGTGGCAAACGAGCAAGTGGCCTAAATCCACCAAAATGGCGAAGCGACCGCTGCCCAGATATCCGCAACTGCGGATGCGTTGCCTACCCTTAAACGACGGAGGACACGCATATAAAGAAAATATTTCTTCTTCCTCCACCGTAAAAACCACGTTCCCTTCCCATCCTATTCTTATGATAAAAAGGTCGGAGGAAAAGGGACTACTTACTATCGGACATTTAACAATTATCGCGGACTTTTGATAAAGAAACTTTGTTTTACATTAATAATATTCCTTGTATCAAAGAATTCAGCCAGATTTCCTTATTAAAGTTTTTTTATTATTCTAGATATTATTCAAGAACCGTGTTGAGATAGAATCAGCGATGGTGTTAGCGGTGAAGAGGAACGCCCTACAAGTGCTCATACCTAAGTACGGCTTGGAGGGACCGATCTACTTGCCCTCGGATAAGTTCATGTACAATGAGGAGGTAACATCACATAATTTGATTTTAATTAAAAAAATGATTATAGTGTGCTTCAAATAAGAAACCTCTCAAACTTTTTGTGTCCAAATTTGTATTTTCCATCGATTTTTGGTAAATCAAAGTCATTGACGAGCATTCTCATAATACAATTTTTACTTATCTAAACTTTATTATTTTATCTAAGACTAGCTGTTGCTCGCGGCTTCGTCTGCCTGAAATGCAAAATAATAAAAATGTAGCCAATGTTACTCACTGATAACAGCTTTTCAATGGTGGATAATTTTTTTGAAATCGGTCAAGTAGTTTTTGAGTTAATTCAATACATACGAAAATACAAATCTTTCCTTTTTATTATATTACTAGCTGTCGCCTGCGACTCCGTCCGCGTGAAATTAAAAAAA